ATACATTTAAGTTTTAACTAACAATAATCTGAGATAACAACGTAACATAACGCTATATCTAAAATTAAATTTAAGTAAATAACGTAAAAACTTTAAAGCGATAAATGTTAGACAAAATATCAAAACATTTCGCGCGCACTCTATGGCCATGCTCCTGACCGGGTCGATGACCGCACATTTCGGCAGGCGCCCTGAGTTTCAGCTGTAATGCGATCCTGCACGCACTCAAGCGCACGGCGGAGTGTTGACACGCCCACTCACACACGCGCACAGACCGCGATAGTATGGAACCGGAAAACCATTGTCGAAACGTCATTGGTATCGATAAATAATCAAGTGGCGGAGTGTTTAAAACGTTCACGTGACTTAAAACTAAATGCATTAATTCAGAATATATTGAGACATGCGGAGCATTGCACCATGTTCTGATAGGTTTTGTTTAAGAACTACATGTTTACATATTAACAGACATTGCAACCTACTCGTATAACAATGTAAATTAGTAATTTCCATAAAGCTATTAAAAATACACCATAAGTTAAACAGATGCTATTAATAGATAATAATTATCGAAAATGATATAATATAACATTACTTTCTTTATTATTGTTAAGTACAAGTAGTATTGTAATGAATTTACTTAGCTCGTAAAGAGATTGTGCGGAAGTCTTTTGAACTCGTTCAAGACGGCGGTAAGTATAAAGGCACTACTTTACTTACTATAAAATTATACATCTTTACTTAATCGACAAATTAAATAAACTGAAACAATGAAAATCGTTTTTTTTTATATTTAGGCTTATAATTTTTTCTCAACACAAAAGTTTTCTTAATATTAAATTTCATAGTTTAGTATCGGAAGCTAAGCTTTTAGCAGAAAACGCGTCTGTCAGGGATGTCTAGGCGTTGACCTTCATCGATCCGCAGTTCAAGGCCAGTCTGCCAAAACCTTCAGCCGTGAACCCGACCTCAGAACTGGAGTGAACGTACCCTTGACTGGAGCAGAGGTCCTTGCCCTGCTATAATTAAACTGATAATAGCGGTACGATGTCAAATGTGAACGTTTTTAACATATTTTTTTTATATTTATTTTACGTCGAAGTAATTTTGTCCATATGAATTATTTTTCTGATTTCCTTTAGTTTGTACATATTTATAATTTTACATAACCAATTCATGTTTTATAAAGCATATTTTAAATTAGTCTAATTTATAAAATTGTAGTATCATATATTTATAAAATAATAGTATCACTGCAGTGCATAAAGGAATAAAAATTATTATTCTATATTTTATTTAAGAGTACGTTTCATAGTTTTTTGGTAATAAATATATTATCAAAAAACCATTATAGTGTCTTGTTCTTCGTTCTATTACCGTACTATTGTGTAATGCGCATGTCGAGATTTTCTCCTAGATTTCAGAAAAAGATACATATTATAAAGATTTTTGTTAGAGTAAGAGTATAAAATAAAAAGTCTATTAAAGTAGGATAAAATATAAAGAAATTTAAAAACGTCTCTTTATCATTTTACTTTTACAATTTCTTATATGAAAATGATATTATTGAATTCAAATTAATTTTATCAAATTAACTTTCTTGCTCGCGTTTCCACTCACACAGTACGTGTGGTGGGAATAAAAAGGTAGCGGATGTCCGTCCCCATGATGCAATCTATATCCTTGCCAAACATGTAAATTTACTTAAATTAAAAGGTAGCAAAAAAACAGACAGAGGCTTACTTTCATATTTATAATATGAAGTAAGGATTAGTGTTGCCAAAACTGTTTTCTTTTTTTCAAAAAACTTAAAAAAAAACATGAAAAAAAAGTTTTTCTTCTGGAGCATGTTTTTGAGAGTTCAGAATTTTATATATATAGGCAGTATGTTTTTGAGAGTTGAGAATTTTATATATATAGGCAGTATAGCTATATAAGTTAAAAAAAGATACTTAAGGGTTCATATTAGAGTTTTCTGTTTATTTTTAAAGACCTTCCATACTTTTTTGGTTGAATAGTGCCGACACTGACAGGACAATACTAGTCGTGGCCTTAGTACTTATTTGTTCAAACGAACAATACTTGTTGTACTTTAGTGTAGAGATTTTTCCTCTATTGACATTTAAAGGTCATTAATTCTGTAATTCTGTAAAACGTACCTCGATAAAACTTTTATTTTTCTATAGATTTTTTCTGAATAAAAACCAAAATTACAAAAAAAACAAAGGTACTAAGTTTTTTTTAAGTTATACTTCTTTCGAGACGCTTGGAAAAAAATATGACAGTAAATTTTTACGATGCGCACATCGACGGCCAAAAAGCGACATGATAAAGTTAGCTAAAAGTTATATGATAAAGTTAGCTGATAATTATTTGTTGCCATGGCAACCGTTGTTATTGTCACAAATGATATATAATATTATATTATTCTTTCCTCTATACATATAATAAAATTCTAACTAAGTCAAATCTGTACATTAAATATTTTTTAGAAAATCTTATTGAAACAGACATTATTATCGATACAGAGGCCGACTCTATAGTTTTTAAAATTTTTGTCTGTCTTTCTGTCTGTCTGTTACCGCATCACAGAAAAACTACTGGACGGATTTTTAAAGAAATTTGTTATGGTCATAGCTAATTATCCGGGTCAACATATAGGATTTACCGGGGAAAAATATCTCATTTCTGATAAAAAATACAAAAACTTGTTAGAATAAAAAAACGATGATACTATATAGATTTTAGCAAGTTAACTTACCAAATATGTCAAAAACTATTAAAAATAGCTAATCTTGAAAAAGTATATCAATAGCACTATTTTATTCATTAAAAAAAATATTTTAATGAATGTTTATTTTTGTATTATTTAGATATTTGTCAATAGATGTAGGTCGCTATGTGTCTTTAAAATACGTAGTTTTAATTCCAAAAAATTGAATGTACAAATTTGACCTTTCTATGATTTTATTAGAATTACTACTAAATTACCCGCGGCCCCACCCGTGTTTAAATGATCAAAACACAATCTTTTTGGCTTTATAAATTAGTTACATCTATAGATACATCAAAATTTAATGAAGCAGTATCTGTGCTTTAAATATTTTTTGGAGAATTTTATTGAAAAACACATTATTATCGCTAACAGAGGCCGAACCTATAGTTTAAAGAATTTTGTCTGTTTGTCTGTCTGTGACCGCATCACAGAAAAATCACTGGAGGGATTTTGACGAAATTTGGTATGGTAATAGCTGGTTATCCGGGTTAACTAATATACTAATACGAGTATACTAATATATAGAACCTAAGAATTTGGTTTTGGTCATATGAACGCGGGCGGAGCCGCGGGCAATGCTAGTTAATATATAAATATATGATTGTACGAGTAATATGCCTAATATGCCTTATTTAATTATTGTTTTTTTTTAATTTAATTGCGATTTTTTTATTAATTTATCACACTTTTTACACACAGTGAGTTGTGACATACGGGATGAAATCTTTAGCTATTTTTGCTCTGTTACGCCAAAGAAGTACCTATAACTTCTTACGTACGTACATAACACACTTTTTTCATGTTTTTTTTTCAATATATTAATATGTATAAAAAACAAAGTCATTTTCTTCATGTTACCTGACCAGTAAGGATTTCTTAGGCCATCGACTGCGGAAAAAATATAAATAAAACTCTTTCATAACTTTCTTTGTTCCCTTTATTTTCATTTATTACATTAGGTAATATTTTTTTTAATTTTTATTCATTTTATATTAGTCACCCAAGTAAAGGGGTGACGGGCGCATATAAAAGACAAGGATCGTATCTCAGAAGGGGATCAAAATAAACGACTGACATTTCATTAAATATACTTATTTTTTTAATTATTATTTTTTTAATTACTTCTTAGAAATTTATGAATATATTTGGGAATATTATATATTTTTAAGGATTTTTTACTTATACGTATTATTATTATTAGCAATTTTTTAAATTATAAAACAAGAGAATGTTGTGCCTATTGTTCTATGAAATGTTATAATTTCATTTAAATTTTATGCATGTTTTGTACATTCTACTTAATCGGAAGTCTATATAATATAAGCGAAAGTTTATATATGTGTGTATAATACCTTCATGATAAAACGGCTGGTCGGATTTGGATGAAATTTACACATTTATGGACACAGATAAACTATGAACTGGAGTAGCTTCTAGTCTACTGTTAGGCATATAGGGATGCACTCGAACAAAACGCAGGTATGTAAGCTAGTAATTAAATGATAATAAAAAAATGGGTCAACTCTATTTTTTTAAATGTTATATTGATTGTGCTGTAATTCAAACTAAACACGTTATAAATGTATAGTACTTCCCGAAAGAAAACACGCGACAATTAAATACTCTACTATCCAAGAGCGAACGTAGATACATTGGTTTAAAAATAAAATGTCTCCTAAGCATTAAGAGGTTGTTCACCCAATATTTGGGCATCGTTCATGACTAAAAGGACTATTTGTCAAAGGATGCGGCTACCTCAAACTTTCGAGGACTTTCCTGTGAAAAAAAAATTGCCATTGAAAACAAGAATTCTATCCAATAAATATATTATATAGGTTTATAATATTGATAATTTATAATACTTAATTATGTCCCACTAAAGTATTTAATGTAAGTTAGAGATTCTTGATATATTTCCTGTTTATATAATAACCTTTTCTCTCTCCCTTTTTTCCCTTGTGCAAATTATAAAAAACCACGTGGCATGATAGTAAAATATTGTCCACTCAATGTTAGTTAGCTCGATCATATTATCAACACCACAGTACCGTAGTAACCATATGAAGAAAGTATATATACGTACATCGTTTTATCCTCTTTCATATTATACGCATAGCAGCGTGACAGCAAAAATCAAACAATACAACCTAAACGCTATAAATACTTTTTGATGCGCTCTTCGTTGCGCTTATCCGCTCCTAAGAGTTGCATAATAATGCGCTTACGCGTGTATGTTTATACATAATAGACGCAGGCGCAGCACGCACACATGCGCGCGCCACACGTGTACACTCACATGCACATGAGATAAGAGCCCGGTCACTGACCCTGAGGAAATGGCGCCTGAAATCGTTCTATGAAAACAATCGCTGAAACAGTCTACGTAGTTTATTTAGACTACAGTCATCTAATTCTTAATTAAGTTTATTCAACAAAATATATTATAGGTACAAAGAAAAGATCTTAAATATTATAGATATATTAAGTAAATATATCTATAATAAACTAAGCCGAATCTCCCTTCATTAAAAACAATGACTGTAACGTAATATGTACATAATATGGAGCCCAAAACGATTGTTATTAAAAAAAATGTTTGTCTGTATGTCTGTTTGTGTGAGCGCGTTTTACGCAAAAATAATTAATCGATTTCAACGAAATTTGGTGAAGTGATAACTTTACTCGGCGACTTTTTACTCGATTACTCAGGTTAACAATTAGGATACCTTTTAATTCAGGAAAATCTTTCTTTCCCACGGAAAAATACAATAACTGGTTTTATCAAGTCGTCCTTAGAAATTTATATGGCTAACGCTGGCTAAACCCTAAGAGATACATCAAAATATTGTACACGAAAATTGTAGGTCTTAAAAAGGTCTACAGAAAAGTCCACAATAGTATATACCTGTCTCCTAAAGTACACTCGCAATAACTATTTTTATTATATATTAACACATACGCGCAATAACATGGATTTATGATATCTATTAAATAGTACAAGCACAGTAAAAAGTCCATACAACAGTTGAGCAGCCTTGGATCATAACTACAAGACAAGAGCTGTCAAAAAATATAAATGTTCATGGTACCAATATCTATTAACCCTAAAGCCATTTTCCAACGCATATGATGTCAACAGCAAGTATGACAGTCGCGCGCCCCGTACTATTGCCCTAGATGACATTGCCTATGTATTAGTTGCGTGTGATATCAGTAACATGTCAAAATATTTACAATAATTAATCTTTTTTTCTGTACGTGTGCTTGTCACCTTACTCCTCCTAAAGGCCTGAAGCGGTTTGGCTGAAATTTTGTGTGTATATTTCAATGGACTCTTGGATGGTTTGAAAATACAATTGTACCCGGTAGGTGGCGCTTCTGTCGGTGTGTCAAAGAGTTTGTTTTTTTAGTAGTGAGAACGCGGGCCAAGCCGCGGGTACTGCTAGTGTATGTATATAATTTTCTTTGTAATTACTACTGTGTATCTGAAAAAATAAATAAAAATAATACTCACAAGACGGCATAACCTGTCCACAGTCCTGCAGGGTGAGTGATGTTAGGGAGTTCTCAGCGTCCACTCTGACGACACCATATGAGAGTCCCGACATGGAGAGCACCCCGCGGCCAGCGGACGAGCCCCCGCGCCCTGCTCGCCTCACGCAAACTGTGAGAGACTCACTGCTGCATGCGCATGGGCATATTGCATCGCCACGCACACCTGGGTGATACGGCTCGTGTTTAAATTTTAATATGTTGGGACATTAACACATAGAACCATCTTGTTCCATGGTAAGCTACGAGGCTTGGGTTATGGATAATAGATAGTTGATACACTACACATATGTAACTTTAAATACATCCATATTATAAATATAAGCACTCATTACTAGAGTACAAATATTCGTGCTCATCACACAAATGAATGATCCTAGGGGGACTCGAAATTAAATATTTTTTGGAAAATCTTAACAAAATAAACTTTATTTTCGATACAGAATTTAGAATTTTGGTCTGTCTGTCTGTCTATCTATCTGTCTGTCTGTTACCGCATCACGGGAAACAACTGAATAGATTTTGATGAAATTTGGTATGATGATAGATATCCGGGTCAACATGTAGGATACTTTTTATTGCGGGAAAATATCTTATCTCTGAGAAATCTATACTTAACGTTAAAACGTAACTAGGGACGAACCCGAGAGGAGCGCCGGGTGAGTCGCTAGTATTATTATAAATGTGAAAGTTTGTGAGTATGGATGTTTGTTACTCTTTCACGGGAGAACGGCTACACGGATCTGGATTAAATTTGGTACAGAGATATATAGAGATTATAATTTGGAATAACACATAGGCTACTTTATATCCCGGAAAAATATACGGTTCCCGTGGGATAGGTTTGTTTGTGTTTTCATAGAGGTGAACCCGAGCGAAGCGAGGGTGAGCCGCTAGTTTAATAATAAACTAACAATACATTACATCGTTTGTATTTTATTACAAAAACTAAGAACGATGAAAGGTACATTGTAAACAATAGTATCGAGTTATACTTAGGAACAGCAACGGTTGGTGGAGCCGCTATGATCTTGAATGGAGTGAAAGTGGCTGCAGATACTTCCTGACACGTGGAAAGTGAACGTCGCATGCGTCGATTAGCCCTGCCTAGGCAATAGATAGTATCTTGTTCAATAGAAAACCAAGAAAGTCGGGTTCAACGCACCCGAAAAAATAATGCCGTAGCAAAAATAATATGTACGTAATAACACTCTAATGGCATCGTGTTACTTAAATTCACAACATATTGCTATTTCTCTGAAAGTTTTGAAGTGTATTTTTTTCGGAAATTTTGTTAAATGTTACGATGTTTTTATGTAATATGTGTCGTATTAGATTGTTCACTTTTACCTGTCTTTATATAAGTTGCGCCAATGCGATTCTTTCTTTAAATAAATTTTATAAAGTTTCTATGGGGTTCACTTATACATTTTCAACCGACTTCAAAAAGGAGGAGGTTCTCAATTCGACTGTATTTTTTTTTATGTTTGTTACCTCAGAACTTCGTCATTTATTAACCGGATTTGGACAATTTTTATTTTGTTTGAAAGGGTATACTTCCAGATTGGTCCCATTTAATTTTCAAAAAAAAAATACCACCCCTAAGGGTGGAAAATTAGCTAATAATGAATTTAACCTACTTCTAATTGTCATATTGACTTGAAACTTTGCAAGTGTTTCTATTTCCGTTGATAGTACAGTGGTTCGGTATTGTTGACCTGATCTGATGGTAAGGCCAGAAGGTGGATAGGTGAAACTCTTCAACGACTAATAGTAGATACTTTGAGTTTAGGCTTATTTTGTTTGGTTTGACAAGCCTAACATTTTAGAATTCTTACTTTGCTACTACTATCTACACTAAAAAGGGAAAAATAAAAACTTTTTAACAAAAAAATAAAAACCGACTTCAAACAAAAGCACTAAAAAGTAAAAAATAACTGATTGGTAGTTTTCATTTACTATACATACCTAATCAAATATTTTCGAAGTTGGTGTGCTTTACTTTGTATGGGCTGGCACCGACTTCGAAAATATTTGATTAGGTATGTATTTAATAGGTAGGCTTTAATTACTTAGCCAAAGCACACCGACTTCGAAAATATTTGATTACATTAAATAAAAACTACCAATCAGTTATTTTTTACTTTTTAGTGCTTTTGTTTTATAACAGCACTTTAGACTTGGCTAAATTTCTTTTTATACTTTCTTTATTAATATTTTCAAAATAATATCATATACGTTAAATAATAAAAAAACCAATAAGAAATTAAAGAAAAACTATAAAAAGCACTATTGAAAATATATATAAATTGTTGTTCTGTTTACATGACTCCCTTAGTTTAAGAATGACGATTATGAATTAATTTAATAACTGACTTTAACCAAGTTAGTGGCGGGTTTTATGTGCGCGCATCCAAGCTTACCAAACAAGTCCTAATAACTCCAGAAGCTAACTGAAAATATAACATAGTTATTATAATTATATAAAGGACATGAGTAGAAGTTATGTCATATATATTATATATTTTTTATAGTTATATATTTTTAGAATTTCCAGTATGATGTATGAAATATGAATGCAGTTTGCAATACAACGTCATCTTGTAATATTTATATATTTACTCGTAGTACCCTTTGTTCATTAATAATTATAATCAATGGTAGTAAGTAGGCACCCATTTATATTACATTGTTATAGATAATAAATAATATATACATTTTTAAAAACACAGTGTAAAATATTAAAAACCGGTAACAGTATCTTCGCTCGTATAAGATATAAGCTATTTAACCAAAAATTCCGAATTTCCACCAAAAACGGTTCAACTTTACAGCGTAAAGAAGTCACAAGCACACACGCTCATTGACTTACAAAATTTCGTATGAATAATAATATTGATGTGATAAGAAATGTTTAAAATCTATACATATAATATATTGTAACTAAGCCGAATCTGTACATTAAATATTTTTTGGAAAATCTTATTGAAATAAACATTATTATTTATTATCGATACAGAGGCCGAATCTATAGTTTTTAGAATTTTTGTCTGTCTGTCTGTTACCGCATCACAGAAAAGCCACTGGAGGGATTATGATGAAATTTGGAATGATGATAGCTGGTTATCCGGGTATATATTGGATACTTTTGTCTTTTGTCTCATTTCTGAGTCTCTAAGAATTTAGTTTTTGGTCATCTAAACGCGGGCGGAGCCGCGGACAATGCTAGTATACCATAAAATGATTGCAGCGTGAAATATTAAACCATCAAAAATAATGTTCAAATTAAATCTTAGTAATAATTAACCAATCCTCATACTTCCAGAATCAAGATCAAAGCTGTAAGTCACAATTTAGACAATAAGCGACACTCAAAGCTATGTTTAAAATTGCTTTCTTACAGACAACTATTGAACCTATTGAAATGAAAGGTCACACAACGGAGCTTGGGAGCCAAACTATTCTAGTAACGGTCGCAATAGAATTGCAAACTTAAAATATTTTCATTCAGATTTTGCTATTGTTTTTTTGGTGTAATGTGTTGTTTTAATATTTAAATATACATTGATGTACTTTTTGTATAATATACATTGTTTCTCACATATCTATGTACATACAAATATATATTTACTACTCTTTAGTATTGCGACCTATGTCACTCCGATTATCATGTATAAATTGTATCACAGTTTGCCAACGAGCGCCAATCTTGCTGTGACGATAAAACACAAAATGGCGAAACGTTCATTGACTAGCGATATTTACGTCGGCATCCGTCGTCCAGTTTAACATTTGAGGTGTCGTGACGTGACGGTCCTGTGATTGATGGTTTCCGGATCAATGTATGGTACTTAAATATTGAGATGGATTCGCCAGAAGATATGAATGAGGTGAGGAATTATTCAGGTGATGGATGGATGGTGGCAGGGCGTTCACCCGCGCGGGTCGTGGACCGGCCGAGTTTCAGACAGCTGATCGCGCGCCGGCCGCTCACGTCATCAACCCGCCATGTATGACTAATAAACAGTTTCGACGCTCCGTATCAGCGTCCGTTACTTATTAATTTATACGTGATTTATTGACGTAACAATAACGTATGAATGCGATTTAAATCACAATAATTGAATTGAAATTGATTTCAATTTGGTTATATGTATAAATTTGTTTTTTTTTTATATTAATGTTAACTTCGTTATATTTTATTGTCTAAGACGTATCACTTACCGCTAATAGTTTAAAAGTAGAAATAAATAAAGCTGTATGAGTATTTACTCATAAATAATAAAAAATCTAATTTTAATGTAACTGTCAAATATTATGTAAAATATGTAATATTTAAATAGTAACTGTCTCGGTGGTGTAGTGGCTAGCATGTACGGCTGCACACCCGGAGGTCCTGGGTTCGAGTCCCGGGTCGGGCCAAGTTTAGTTATTGAGTCTTTCTGTATAGTAAGCCTCAGTAACAGCCCGGAGTTGGGAAGTTGGCGGTGTTTCACCCCCGTGTCTCGGAGAGCACGTAAAGCCGTCGGTCCTGCGCCTTAACCCTCACTGGTCGTGTCGAGTGGTCGTCCCACCGGAGTATGAGAGTGACAGGAATTATAGAGAGTGCACGTTGTGTGTGCGCGTACACTTGTGCACCATAATATCTCCTGCGCAGTTGGCTAGTCTCAATGAGATTTGCCGCCGTGGCCGGAGTCGGTCGGGAGAACATCATCATCATCATCATTTAAATAGTTCTATAATAATTATTTAAAAAGTAACTGATTAACCTATATTATATCTATAAAAATAAAAAAGAATAGGTATCTAAATGTGTTGCTAAACGCAAAACTGGAGAACGCCTGGACCAAGTCGCCTAATTATATTTTTTTTTAAATACTTATTCGTTGAAGTCTGAGGAAGGTTCTTATGAAGAGAAAAATAGGAAACATTTCACGGAAAATGTAAAAATCACGTTTTTCGTTTTCCTTACTACTACCACAGATCATATAAATACTATACGTACGACTTTATAATTATGAACGCTTCTTTAAAGTTAATATAAACTACTTGAATGCATATTTTGTAGATTGACACTTTCTCTTTCTACGATATTCAGTTTGACTTTGACTTTGTTTGTTTGTTCTTCATTCACATCGAAACATAGTGACGATTGGCATGATTTTTTGTTAACATTTTATAATACAAACCACAATAACTCATCACATCTATGTATGTATATACGAGTATATAATACTAGCATTGCCCGCGGCTCCGCCCGCGTTCAGCTGACCAAAAACCAAATTCTTAGGTTTTACATATTAGTATACTCTTACATTGCAGTTTTTGTATTTTTTCTCAAAAATGAGATATTTTCCCGCGGTAAAAAGTATCATATATGTTGACCCGGAAAACCAGCTATCACCATACCAAATATCGTCAAAATCCCTCCAGTGGTTATTTTGTGATGCGGTAACAGACAGACAAAAATTCTAAAAAATATAGATTCGGCCTCTGTATCGAAAATAACGTTTATTTCAATAAGATTTTCCAAAAACTATTTAATGTACAGATTCGGCTTAGTTACAATTTTATTATACATATGTATGGATTTGTCAGACAATAACAACGGTTACCATGGCGACATGGCAATATTCTATGTCATTCTGTCACCGGCTTAATCATATATAATATTTATGTGTTTGTTTCTTTTTAGTGTCACATTTTCGTTTCATCGAGTTTCAAATCATAACGATTGGAATAATAACGATTAAATGATTTTCAAATCGATGTAGGTATCATTTTAGCAAAATGTAGTTATGGCCATTCAAGGAAATCAGAAATAACTATTTTATATCCATCGGTATATTTGGTTTTAAAAATATTTTCAAACGCATAGACTAAGAAATTTAAGTTTTATTACAAATTTCATGCAGTTTTCTTTTGCATTATTCCACGCAAAATATGGTCGGTTATTTGCACGCTCGCGCATAAGCATCGCGGTCAAGCGGCCAAGGTGTAAGATCAACAATCACAGGTGTCCAGGTTCGAATCTCAGTCGCATACAAAGTTTTTACTTTTGTTTATTTTTTAATATTTATTCAAGTTTAAAGTTAAAAAAAAATATTCTACTTCAGGCCAAAAACTCCGAGCGAAGCTCGGTAGGCCAGGTACTTTTATTTTATATGGGTTCTCACTTAAGGTATTCATCAAAAAGTATTATGAAAGTTCTAAACTGACGAAAATACATATTATGTAACATACACAAAAAAACAACTGAATTCAGTAGCTTTTCCGAAGTCGGTCGAACTTCATTGAGCAACATACTCGTAGGTACAAGATGATGTAACAGGACGTGATGAAAGCTGAAGCAAAATAATTTCTAGGGTTAGTTATACAATATGTTTTCATGTTCCATATTTTTTGTTTCTTTTATTTTATTATTATTTTTTAAAGTTGTTGAATATTTTTATTTATTATATCCTCTTTCCTTGTATATGACAAATGGCAGCGCATAATAAAAAAAAAAAAAAAATATTATGTCTATTGTACAATTTATTTATAACGTAGTTTTATATGATTTTTTTTTTCAAAATTAAAAAGCTTTTTGGTTTTGAAAATACATTTTTTATCTAACTTCCTAAGGTATACAGTCTTTGTTAAAAGTTAAGATGGTACAAGAAAATGGCCCGGAAAACAGCTACGAAAATCAGGCGCATCGCCGTCTGCAACTTGTGTACTCGCGGCAAACACGAGAACGGCAAGTATTTATGCAAGAACTTAAAGAAATTCGCAAGCGAAAAGAAAAGAATATGCTTAAAATTATTAAAAACCTTATTGGCCCTACCTGGTTGCAAGCTCTTAGTGTACCTCAGAGAAATGCATTAGATACATTGGAATTCTCTATTTATCAGGATTTACTTGAAGGTCGTCCAGTTCGAACAGCAAATATTATGCGCCAACTTGGGCTTTATCCTAGACCAAATAATATCGACTTGTTTAATTGTGTTTATCTCGGACGCAAAGATCCAAAGGAGATGCTTGCTCAACTGTTTTTTATGACTTATGGACATCCAATCGAAGGCAAGCGATCTTCTTATTGCTTAAATGCTAGACTAATACTTTCCGGTATTCTATATTTGGGACTTAATAATTTGTTGGAATTGCTGAAAAAACGGTTTAGACCAGATCCTAAGGAAAACCCACAAGAGGGTAAGCCAAAAGCAAAAAATAGGGTTCCATTAAAATCACCCTATCTCCAAGATATGGTCGCTGTACTTTACTTGCCACCTAAAAGAAAACCCTTTCAAGCAGCGCCTCTACCTAATTTGGATGATCTCAACGAACCATATGAAGAAGAGCCGCCAATTCCAAAACCTCCGCCTCCACCACCACCGCCCCCGCCGCCAAGGAAACGATTACCGCGGTCATATTGCGAAAAGTTGGCAGGTATCATGAATATAGAACCGCATTCTTCAGTCACTGCCGTCGCTGTAAAAACCGTTACACGAAGAAGTCGCCTACATAAGCTTCGAAGCTCTAAGATGTGCGTTGAAGTTAAAAAAACATACGGTATCAGTATGACACGCCCAAATAAAGGTACCAAGAGAAAAAAACTCATAGCTCCCAGTACAGGCTTATGGAACGCACAGTATACCATCAATGGAGTATGCAAAATAAACGGTAAAACAGTATTCTTGTTAGGAAGTGTTTCTATATTACCTCCAGATGGCGATCTAATTAATGGTGGATATAGGTATATCGGTGGACAATACATCAATATACACTGTGGTTTCCGTGCTCGACCGCCACCTCCGAAACCCGACCCCTGTAATTGCGTCAAGAAATGGCAAGAAGCAGTGTTCAAATATGTAAAGGAAAACAAATGTCGCTGCGGTCATCATTACGACTATGGAAATGAAGGAACATTTCCTTCAGACGAACTCCCTTACTTTCAAAAATCAACGAAATTCACACCTTATCATTTCGACTACCACACTATATATAATTTAGATGAAAAGGAATTGTATATCAAAAAAGAGTTTAAAAAAATTTGGGAAACAGATAGTGCGCTGCACGTGGGTGACGATACCGCTCTCGAAAAAAAAGACAAAAAGAAGAAAATAGTGAAAAAATCATCGTCAACTTGCTTAGGACAGAGTCCGAAGCCTGAAGACTATCTCAAATGTGCTTTAAGACAAATGAGAAAGATAAATATTGCAGCTAAGCTTCCGGATGTTCATTTAGTACCAGAGCTGAAAGAGTGGATGAGACGACGCATTTACGGGCCTTTTACAAGTTATGAGAAAAAAGAAATGTTAAGAAAGAGCATCTCGTTTTGGCAAACATTTTTAACACTAGCACAGAAAGGTTTCGGTCACGTATATCCAAAGAAAGATCCTGCTTTCGCTGGACACACAACTTGGGTGCATAAACAAAACCTGAATGATAAATTTAGAAAGTTTACTCAAAATTATAAAAGGGAGTTATTTAGGTCGTATGCTTATATTTCAAACCTTTTATGGCCGACAATGTGTCAAGCAGAGTTCCCAGATAAAAAATTTCGTGAAATATATTTTTCGTATATTTTTGGACGTATAGAAGATTTGCAGCTAATGCATCCATATAGTTCTAGAGAAACAATGGAGCGGAAATTAACGATAGGCAAGAAAAGGTACAGCTGCCCGCCAGACGGATACGAACCTGCTAATTAATAATAAAAAACGCTGTTTGAATTCATTTTTGTAATAAAAAATTATTTTTATTGTATAATATTTTAATTTGTTTATCATAATCGTTTCTTGAATTATTAATCAATTCTAGGTTATACTTTATGTGACAAAACTCGTATGTTAATTTTAATATTACAATAAAACACATCATACTGGTAAAATACAGCATACTGACTGAAAGTGACTTTCTCATATTAGTTACCTATAGATATAATACATACATGTTATTGAAACTATCAAAATAAAACGTTCAATTATTTTAAAGGTAACTTTTTGCCAATATTTTTGAAGTTTTGGGGCTTATTATCATGCTAATAACACTAGCTCTTTCCCGAACACATAGTTTATTTATGCTTATTTCTTTCGCACCTAAGGAACAATAGCCATTCTCAATAAATGGGCAATATGAAAAATATTTTTTTATAATTGGTACTAAGTGCCAGTTCCATTCAAACAGTCTCTTCAAAATCATATTATATTATTAACATAGAATTTATATATGTATGTCCCTGATATAAATTGAATGATTAGTAATAGTCAATAGTGAATGGGGAGTAAAATGATAGTCTAAAAGTACGTAATCCATAATTTAATGTGATAAGTATATTATAATAATATACCTATGTAGGTATTTTACAAAGTTATGGCTTATAAATAATTTCCACTGAAACAACTAAGTTGTAGATTCCGTATTAATTGCAATGCAAAACATCGAATTCCTTAAAAAAAACGTGTATTTGTTCAAGGCATTTCCAAAATGCACTAAATTGATCACGCTTATTACTTTATTTAGTCTACATTCACACTAATACTCGAGGGTATTAAAAATATTTCTCTTTTACCATTAAGTAGAGCACTACTAATAAGCATATTTGCTACAATATTATGATACAAGTCTTACACATTATATAAAATCTATAACACTTTAAATTAAAACATTAGAGTTTTTGAGGGACAAACTCGTTGTTACTCTAATTTATGAACGATTAGATTTACTAGTTGAGACAACTCAAAGTATGGTGAAAGTTGAAACTTATGTATAAATGCCACTTAAGAATCGGAAGGAAAAATATTTTATTATTTATGTAAACTTTGGTACTTGAAATTAATTGGAAATTTTGAATTGTTCTAAGCCCCACTACTCAAGCAATTCTGAAGTTAGAGAGTAGTAGTTCTTATTGCATAAATCTTAAAGTTCACTTTTATATAAACTATGAATTGTTTCAACTAATACTCTTGCGTCCAGTGGATATTCAACGTCTTTGGTATCATGTTATAAAAACAAAACAATCATTGCTACTTGTGAAAATATTAAACCAGAATTAATTATACAAAATACTGATATAGAACGAAATGTTTATGTTATTTAAAGCATTTTACATTAAAACTAAAGAAACAACATTCAACAAAAAGTATACATATCGGCCGCGTTTCATTGCAAATGTTAATTTAATTAATATTCTGTCAAGATTTTAATTAAAATATTTTATATACAACAAAAAAACTGCGATGTACATTAGCTCTAACTGGCGGAATAAAATTGTGATAAACATTAAAAATTACATATTATTATAATCATTGAAAAATACACGAAAATATATACGCTTATAAATAAAAGTAAAAAATTTCTATTGAGATGAAATGCTTGAAAAATTCCATTGAATAATTTGTGCAGACATATTTAATGCCTCATTAATAAATAAATTGTATTGAAGAAATGAGTAATTAATGACCTAAATATAACAAGGCTTTATTATATGCTTTAATAAAACAGGGTCTACTCTACAGTTGACTTACAAACGTTACGTCATTCATTACAGTAAATATTTCTGAGAGAGTAAAATGGCAGTAATAGTAAAGAGGAATAGTAATAAAAATTCCATTAAAAATTACACAAAAACCCAGCAACTGTTCTTCCAAACAACAAAATCGTATCAGAAATCATATCCGCTTTAGACAGACATTAATTACATAACAATTTAATTTTTATAATATATATGAATTGTCATGAGAAAATAAACGCATATACCGAGAGCGAGTAGACACTTTAAAGCAGGTATTATCAAATACAGTTACATAGCCTGCAATATATAAATTGATCAAGACTAAACTATAGAAAACTAATATTTTCCTCGTAAGTCCTTTGATATGTCCTCCAAGATATACTAATATTATACACTGATAAAGTTTATTTAGTACTTTCTTAGATTTACGCGAATATTTGACATTTTAAATAAAACTATCTTTTCGGATTTTGTCGCGGATTTATTTGTATTTTTGTTTCCCGACGTTTCGAATGCTTTACAGCATCCATGGTCACGGGAGAGACTGAGGTGTTACATGTGTTAAAGATATAGTTGTCTTAAATAATAGCAAAAATTAAATAAATAATTTTCCATATTCAATTATAATTAAAATTATAAAATTATAAAAATGTTTTAAGTTAAAAAATATTGTAATGTAATTGGTGCAACTTTCATTTTGTTAATTGTGGGTAGGCTGTCTGTAACAACTATACATTCAAGACATGTAACACCTCAGTCTCTCCCGTGACCATGGATGCTGTAAAGCATTCGAAACGTCGGGAACCAAAAATCAAAATAAATCCGCGAAATAATCCGAAAAGATAGTTTTATTTAATAATTTCAAACATTCGCGTAAATCTAAGAAAATATTATGTTTCTTGAGAATTATTAGTTAGCAAAGCAACGGTGTATCGCTATTAAAGTTTAAACCAGTCAAAATAAACTATTTCAATTGGTGGGATTGTAATAAATTATGAAAAAAACTATAACTCTGATATAATTAATGTGAAAGATTGCGAATGAATTTTTCTTAAGTTCTTCGAAATATTCACGGTATAAAAGAGTTAACGGCGACTCTGTTTCCGTTCCGATTCAGAATTAAAATGGCAAAATTTTTGAAATAAATCTTCACTATGCAGATTAATGTACTAGGGTATAATAAAAGCCAAGGAGGTTACTGTAAGACGTTACAGTATGAACCAGTTGTCTTAGATCAAGTTACATAGGGCATACTACCGTTTCCTTATATCTGAAGTTCCTGGTGCGAGTGTTGCGAGTGGGGTGAGTGGGAGGGGTTGTGTGCGGGTGCGGGGTGAGGGGCGCGCTGTTGTAAGTGCACTAGCGCGGAGAGGAGACGAGTGTTGGCTTCATCTAGTGCGGCGATACGGTGCTCTTGCGCTTCGATGACGCGTTGCTTGTGGGAGAGCGCGGCCGCCATTTTGCGTTGTTCCCGCCTTAGCTCCTCTTCGACGCAGATTAATCTGGAAGTGGTATGGAGTTTATTAATATTTTGTTGATATTTTCTTAAAGTGTAAATAATGTAAGTTGAATAAAATCATTCGTTTCTTTCGCTTTAAATTATGGTACTAAGAGAACTTTTTAAATAAAACTATCTTTTCGGATTGTGGATTAATGTTGAAGTATTATAATAAAAAAGAAGATAAGTATAGAAATGGTACATTAGACATTCAATACTAGTAGCGAAAAATATTTTGTGTACCTTGATATGATAGCTTTCATTTTAGCATCAGTGTGGTCCTGTCCGGATTCGGTAGGGCCTAGACGTCCTCGCAACATCTCTACGGAACATTTTAGCCTCTCTATTTCACGTTCATACTGCAAAAAAACAAAAGAAAGTTAAAAAATAAATAGCAGAATTATTATAAAAACCAACAATATTAAAGATATATATTTTTTTAAACCAACCTGTTCAATAGTTCTGTGATGCTTGGTGCGTCTTCTCCCAGTGGTGCTGTACAAGGTGTCGTCTACTTCATCCGAGCTATCCGTCAGTTCCCGCGCGGACTCGAGACTGAGCCGCCGCTGTAACTTATCTCTAGCCGGTAACTCTCTCTCACTCTTCACTATTGCCCTCTCATTCGTCTCACTCGAATGTGTATCGCGACCGAACATTCGAGAAGGAGAGTCCATTCGGCCACTATAATAATCTTGGTGACCTTGATGTCTCTCTAAATCCTCATTTAGCCGACTGCTTGAGACCTTGGCACCGGAATATGTCCTATCCAGGGGATAGTTCGTTTCCGGAATCGTATTCTCTGTTAAACATTTATCCGGCGAGTTCTTAGAACTTTCCATATTGTAGAATGCCTTTTGAGATCGTGATATTTGTAGTCTGTACATTTCTTTATTAACCTCTTCCACATTCGAGTCGGACCGACTCATCGGATAGCCGGAATCTGTAGAAATATGATGCGGCTTGCTTTCATACAACGATTCTCCTCTTTGACCAAAGTGTTTTAGGTTAAGTTGATTTTGATTTGTTGAATAAGAGAGCATTGGGTTGGTTCGGGGCATACGCGTCTTGCTTTTCCTTAAGCTCGGCGAATTGCTAGAAGATTCGTCGTCTCTAATCCTAGGGCTGTGATTACTTCTCTGATATATATCTTCGTAGTTATCTCTGATAAGTTTTCGGTGGGTATTGTTGCGATTCTGTTGGTCATAATTCCGGCTGTCGTCGTTAAAATTAGTGGAACCTTCTTCGGAATTAGTCTCCACGTTGTCTGTGCTCAAACCCTCCTCATCGATGGATGAACTGGATGAGCCACAAGGACATCGCTTGGAGTTCCTATTCTCATTAACTTTAACCTCTTGTGGTGGTCGATTATCCTCCATATTGTAGACGGGATTTGTAAAGACTAGAGGAGCTACTTTTGTGTTTGCATTTGTGTTGCTCTGCGTAGTATCGGCGGTTGTGAAATTTTGTATACCATACTTTTGAATGTCGTATTCAATTTTTTGTTGCACTGGGCTCTTTGGGTAGAATTTTTCGTTTTTATTATCATAATACTGCTTGTCTCTCTGTTTTTGGTAATTCAGCTGTGAGTAACGGGTCATGGACTGTCCTCCATTTTCGTACGGTTGGTGATGGTGCGTAGTACTCTCTATAGGACTAGAACTTTGGCTGTACGTCGCTATGCTCTGATATCCAGAGCTCGCGACGTTCGACAATCCGCTGATTGATACGTTCGAACCGTTATTCGTGTAGGGATTTTTGTTACCATTTATTATGTTGTTGTTATTCGTTTTTGATTGGGACATGTTCTTTTTGTTCATAATCTTCTCATCAACTATATCAGAATCGTCCGCATATTTAAATAAGTCGGATAACTCATCTAAATTAGCGGTTTCTTTCATATTTTGCAAATCATTGGCGCAATAGTTATGATTGATACTATCGCTGCTAGGTGACCTCTCTGTGCTATTATAATTTGAATTGTGATAGTGCTGTTGTTGATTGAAGTTATTCGGCTTGTATCTCTCCTGGAACCGTCTTTCCAAGCTTTCGTTTAGTCCATTACTAATGCCTTTGGGATACTGATCAGAGGCGAAGCCAATCTGTACGACCTTTAGATTGACACAATGTTCTTGGTTGTTGTACTGAGAGCTATATCTATCAGGGTTCACGTTTTGATTGACTGGACTCGATCCGTATCCATTTCTCGGGAGCGTCGCTGAACGTAAATTGAAGCTAGGTGATTTAGAAACTGTTACGAAAGATCCCTTGTACTTTGAGTCTTCTGCGTTGGATTTGGATGGGCTTATGTTGAATTGCACGCCGTTTTTGTTCATGATAGGTGAGCTGTGAGCAAAGTTGCTATTGATCGGAGCATTTGTCGGAACGTCGTTTTGTTTTTTCGGTGTGTTGCACGTGGGATCATTGAATCTAAAAATTAAAAATGACCATTAAAAAGGAATAATTTATCTTTATAGCCCTTTTAAATAAAAAAAAATCAATAATTGTTATAATTTTTGATAGTCATTTTAGTAATATGTATTAAAGTGAAATTTTATTTTAATGCTTACCTGAAAATATTATCACCTGTCGGCGCTGGAGGTCCGTTGTCGTTACTCAATAATCTTTTGTTGAGATCGTCTAATATGTCGGACAATGGATCCAACTCCTGCAATAATAAGGAAATATGTGACGATCGTGAACTTTAGATTTTGAAGTTATGGCGGTTCAATGACTACACTCTTGATCCCCTTTCACGATAGATATCAGTGTTAGTCATAAAGCTTCTAGAAATATCGTGTTTGTTTTTTGTCATTTGAGACAACGGTCTATCATTTATTATGTTATGTAAAAATATAAATATTATGCATATTAAGGTATGTAAATCACACCTTTTTAAATACGGCCACAGGGCCTTGAAAATATAAAATAAGGTATAGACCTTATTTTACATTAAACACACAATAAATACATTTAAGGCAGATAAGTATTATAGTGCACAAACTCCGGTTACTGAGAATTTTCGACAGAAATACTCAATAACTGAAGTCGGCCCGAACCAGTACTCGAAGCCAGTACCCAGTACAGTACAGTACCAGTACAGCGGCCGAACACGCTACCCACTAGACTACCGACAGTTAATCCGAACACATTTTTAAATATTATTTAAATAAAGCAAAACCCTAACCTGTATCTTCCCCGCAGGCAACTTCGGTAGGCTATCAGCCAACAGTGTGTGTAATGTTGCCAACTGCTTCCCCAAGTCGACATGCGGCGCCCACTCCTGGTCCGCTTCTATGCCTTCGCTTCTAGAACTTTCGGAGCCGGCGGCCGATGCCTGTGACGTTGAAGAGTTACGTTTGCTGTCTTGTTGTTGTTGGGTTTGCATGTGTTGTTGTTGCTGTTCTTGCGGTCGGGTCTGTAAAGGAATTAATAATTACAATGTTTTTAGTTGTTTATTTTATTAACAATTTCTTGCCTGTGACTTCGCTTGTTATAGTACGAATAATACGATAGTATGTGTTATAGTATAAAAACTACCTTGGTGAGAAATATAAAAAGGTTTAATCTATAAAAATTACAATTTGATATTGCACCTAAGAGATTTTACTTTACATTAGCAAATTATACGCAAACTAGCACTTGCTCGCGGCGCTGATCGCTTTATTAATAGTGCATGATTTTAGCGAGCATTTCTTACTAAAATAGGTCATGCCATTAAACGCAAAATATGGAAATAATAGTAACAAAGATTAGAGCCTTTAAACAAAAATACATAACAAGGGATAACTCACAGAGATAGCTCTAAGGAAGGCTTTCATATTAGGCGCCTCCTGTTCGAGGAAGTCGTTGAGGAACTCCATGAAGGCCTCCTTGCCCTGGAAGCGCGTGAAGTTGGCCAACGTCTGCAGCGTCTTCGCCACCAGCGTCAGGTTGCGCGCGGCACGCTCGTTCGGGTATTCTGGGACCAATTCACAATTTTAATATCTTTATTTTAATCTATACTAATATTATAAAGAGGTAAAGTTTGTGAGATTAAGAGTTTGTGACGTTGTAGGGAGCAATCTCTGGAACTACTGAACCGATTTAGATGAAATTTGGCAAGAAGATAGTTTGAGACCCTGGGAAGGACATACGATACTTTTAAAAATTAAATAAAAATCATCCCATAACGGGGTTAAAATGGGGATGAAAGTTTGTATGGGGAATCAAAGGACAAACCCGAGCGAAGGTAAGTCGCTAGTTGTTTTAATATTCTTATTTAAAATTATTCTATTTTATTTTAATATTCTTATTTTAATTAATTGTATTTTAATATTTTTCTTTTTGAACGACTTTGAAAAAAAGAGGAACAGTTTGGGGTGTATGTTTGTTAAGCGGTAATTTTGAGATTTAAGAAATTTTAAACAATTTGGCCCATACCCATTATGGTAGAATAATTAATGTGTTTCTTGTTGAACCATAGTTGAAGAAATATACTTTATATTTTATTATTAATAAGTTAATTTGAAGATTATAATACTCTTGTATACATAATTTATGAAGTTTGTTTTTTATATAAAGATTTACTTACTGGTAAATATATTGAAGTAAAAATTTGTGTTTATATATGGTGGATTTTTAAAAAAAAATTGTAATTAAAACTAAATAGCAAATCATTAGTTTATATAAATTACGAAACACTTTTTGATGAATACGTGGGTCGAACTTACCATGAGTTATTCCAAAAAGACTTGGAGAGAGAATAGCAGGACAAAGAAAACGAAGGAAAATGGATGCGCTGATCAAGTTGTCTGATATATCTTCTCGCCCCATAGACGATAGCCTGAAACAATATAATATGATAATTAAATTTTAATATATTATCTTTATTTTATTATATTAAATGAGCAATTCTTGTATATTTTATTTTGTTTGAACGCGCTAATCTCAGGAACTACTAATCCGATTTGAAAAATTATTTTTGCATTAGATAGCCCGTTTATTGAGGAAGGCTTTAATCTATATATCATTATGCTACTACCCAAGGGAGCGGAGCAGTAAGTAATCATAAATGTCAATAAATCGGGCAGACTTCCATACATTATTGTAAACCTGATGTTTATAATCAAACAAAAACGCGGGGCACAACTAGTAAAAAGATAAAACTAAACACAAACCTTTCTCTAAAGGTAGCGAAGCAGTCCCTGAGCGGTGGCGGGAAGCGCGGCGCGGAGGCGGCGATGGCATGCCAGGCGAGAGCCACGGCGTCGCGCAGCGCGGCCTGCTGGCGCCTCAGCGCCGCCGCGCCACCCGCGCGCTGCGGGTCCACCTCGCACTCCGCGCCCGGGCCCGCCGCCGCCGCCACCGCCTCGCCCAGCGTGTCCTGCGACGATTACGTTCATTAGTTTTAGATCGAGTCTCAAATTAAAATATACTTAACGAACGTTTTCCTGCGTAGTTTAATTATGTTTTAATATATCTTCGTAAATTCATTAATAAATTACTTTTATGTATATTGTATAAGCTATAATATTGAAAAATTTCATCAAAGCCTGTTAAGTAGCTTTTGCGTGAGAAAAACAAATGTACTTTCACAATCACCACATTTATTTTATTTTAATTAAGCGTATGTAGGTCTGTAAAGAAGCTATCTTCTATGGTAGTTCTTTTGAGAACAACTGGCAAGAAACTCAACAGTTGTTCTTTATACCTAGAATAGAGGCGCTGTCATAATCTATCGACATAATTCAGGCTGCGAGTGCACTGAAAATTCATTGCAAACTATCCTTAGACCATATTTTTATTTCAAATGATAATTTTATACAATGACGCTCGATGATATCAGCGTTAGCTGGCTAGGCTTATTACTATGTTTTTTTTTAAATTAAAATGTAATAAATAACATTCAAACTAACTCGAAAAGTACTTATCGCCAACCAATTCATATTTATATTTGATATACGTTTTATCCACAATAAACTAACCTGTAGATACTGATCGCCGACCAACTTTAGATAGGCCTCCATGCTCTTAGTTGCCAAGGAGTTGCCACGGAAAGTGAGCGAGTGGTCGCCGGTGCGGCGCACGTCCAGCGCCACCACGTCCGCGAGGTACCGCGGCGCCAGCCCTGCGCCCGCCATGCATAGCACTAGCGCACAACCGATGTCTTCTTTTGCTTTTACTCCTGTAAATAATATAGATATTGTATGAATATTCATAATTACATTATATCAATGAACGTATTTGTTTATTTCGTCTATCGCCCTTAAACCAGTTAAATTACTTGTAATCGATCTAATCGAATTTTTAAGTTTTATAATTATAACCACATATACACATATGTATAATTGTGACTACATATTCTGAACATAAGCTATTTGTGTTGTATATAACAATATGCCATTTGGACATGGATAGATCTTTAAAATTGAGATACATGTTTGTAAGTACTTTTATTATCTAAGCCGAATTGCTATTTACATGATGAAATACTGCGCAGAACAGATACATAGACACTAATGACGTAATACCACCAATTTATAATATAAAGTCAAATCATAATAATATAAAACAATGCCGAAGCTCACGATCCTAATTGAAAAAAAATGAACCAAAAAAAACAATTTCAACTACTTACCAATAACCGGCTCTAGATATTCACAAAGCCGTTTATAATTCTTCTTAAGGTAGTCCAGGAACCTGGCGTAGCTGTCCAGGGGCAGCACGTCCACACACTGGTACCTGCACTTGATGCGCAGCGCGGGCTGCGGCGCGGGCGCGCGCCCCGGCGACTGCGGCTTGTCCTCGCTGATGGGGTACCATCGCTCGTTGAGGTATCTTGATGATACGTCGTCGACTGGGATACGTACCGTTCCTGTTTTGTAAATGATTTATTACGATAACTGTTTGTTATGTATTTTCATAGATTGTATTTTTTTACTGAAAGGTATAATTAAAGTCACTTTAAAAGCAATTATAACATAAGTTATGGTGTATTTTATCCTAAAATGTATATGAGACCATGATTGGCAAGGAAAAATCTAATTATTAATAGCTATATAAGATAAAACACACACCAAACTTGAGTATATTCTTCTTTGAAGTTAGTTAAACACGAGAATTTCCGTAGAACTATTTGCTATTTATTATCCATTCTGTACATAAATTAATGGATACCATATTTTGAACAGGTAAATACAATCTAAATTAATATCGTGTAAGCTTATTAAGAGCAGTTACAATTGCTATTATTCTTTAGGATAATGTTCTCAAAACATTGTTTGAAAATTAAGGTTAAATATTTATAGAAAATTATTGATATCACTCCTGTTGTTCACAAACATTTCCAGGAAAAACAGTTTGTTTATTGCATCGTCACTACTTATTATGGTCAACAACTTAGCGGAACAGCATTGTTTAGACATGAATCATGCCTATTGTAATGACAAGTAGTCAAGAAAATTTGAAAGGCAGACAAAAAATTAATGGCACCGTTACGGCTTACATCTAACATATAATGTGGCCTTTGTCTTTCATGGTACAAATGGTATATTGATTACCAGGTTACATAGAAGTAGGTTGCGTCCAATTAGCGCGATAAAACGTCGAGTATCTAACTGCAAAATTTAAATGCAGAAATCTGTATAGAAAAGAATACTTGGTTTGGTGCAGCCTTGATTTCCTTCTTGAGTAAAGTATACACATGTTTAGCGGTTATATTAATAAGTCCTTAGGAAAAATTTATTTAATAAAAAAAAACAAAATACTTATATTTCAATCAAATAGATTTAAAAGCAATCTTGATTTTTCAATTATTACATTAAAATTATAATAAATATGAGTATCGTAAGCCCATGATGAAACTATTCCATCTCGGAACCCAGTTTTGATGAGAAGAGACGGCAAGAAACTCAACAGCTGTTCTCTTAACAATTACCTATATTTTTGTTTACAATATTGAAATACAATAATATTGCACTCATCCTACATAATTATCAACTATAATTAACCCCATACACATAGAATAATTTATAAGGAAAACAACACAGACGTTATCCTGTAAATTTATTTTTGAACTAGTTAAGTCCTTACCAACAAGGGCGTGTTTGTCTCGTTTTCGCGCGCGCCGCTCTGGTTCGCGGTACACGTTGACGTGTATGGCGCGGACGGCCGGCAGACCGCTGAACTCGTATACTTCGCCCCAGAAACACAGCTCCGTTTTAAGTTTCGATGACGATCTAGAAATAAATAGAAGCAACTTCAATCAAATATACTTATTTCATCCAAAAACTAATTTTAGGCTATCATCTATTATGTTTAACGAAACGGTAGAAATTATACCTGCAGAAATTGAAGCAATACAAAGAAGTATGAACATTGAAGATTTCAAATAAAATTGGTTTCAAACTCGATTTGGAAATGGAGAATCTATTCAAATTAATTTCAAATAAAAGGTAGTTTGCGAAACTTTATGGCTATTCCAATTTATAAGTCAAAAGCCTACAATTACAATTAACAAATCATAAACCTGCAGTCCAGACCAAAATGACCCACTTCCATTGGATGTTACTTTTTCTAAACAAAGTTTTATTCGTAAATGTTACCTCATAAATTGACCTTATTTAGCGGTAGACTATTTAATAGACGTCAATTGATGCAGGAATATGTGATTCGATACGGATGTTAGTTAGCATAACCAATCCAAAAATTATTTATTAGTCATTTCTTATAAAATTTCTAGCAAATATAAGTCTAACTTTTATGTTTAAAATTGGACTTAAATTCAAAATTAAATACATGAAATTGTGATTTTAGTTACTCTAGCCAAGTTACTTTTAATAAGTTTAATCAACTTTCATATCATTTCGACTAATTCCTCGTATTGAAGTGAATATTGATTATTTTATTCTATACTAATATATATTATAAAGAGAAAAAATTGTAGTTTTATTTGTAATGGATAAATTAAAAACCCGCTAAATCGATTTAGATGAAATTTGGTATCAAGATGGTTTGAGACCCTGGGAAGGACACAGGATAAATTTTATCTCGGAAATCATCCCTTAAGGTGGTGAAAAGAGCGATGAAAGTTTGTATGGGAAATCAATCATTTCTCAAGTAAGAGATATAAAACTCATAAATACATAATACGAGTATATAGTCTATCTATTCCATATTATTGGTTAAAACGTACCTAGGGACGAAAGCGAGGGAAGCGAGGGTGAGTTATAAGAAAATTATTTATCAAACACACAATAAATCCTTATTTGGTGTCGGTCGATTATTTGCTTATCAGAAAACTTACTAAAACGATACGATCTTAATTGATACATATATAATTAATTCATAATTAAATTAACTGATCAAGGAGGAGATCATATTGACGCATTATTCACGTTAATTATGTAAATGTTGCCAGTTAATTATGTTATTGCCAATTACATAATCTGATTCATTTACGAGTCCCCAGAATAACATGAATAACTAATCGTCTTGAAAATAATTAATTAATTAAAACCTTCAATTTACATATCTTTTAGAACAAATTAAAAAATCTTTACTCGATTTCGAACTACTGTTATATGTTCTATGTACGAGTTTAAATAAGTAAAACTAAGTACACAGATAGACTATGAGCTGGAGTAACACTACACAATACACATAGACCACTTACTTGTAAGGCACCTAAATTAATAAAAATACCTTTCGTAGAAACGCATTAGGTATTTATAAAAATTCTCAATCAGTACATCTCATAACCATATAAAATACGTGACTGAATAATATAAAAGAGAATCCGGTGTTTACACCATAAATTGTTAATTTGTAGTCAAGAAGAATTAAATATTTTACTGTCTCACAAAAGTAAAATAATAAGTAGTAAAGCTCTCAATTTTTTCTTTTTCCCGTTGAATTTACACACTCGCCACAATTATAGTCTAAGATCCAATATACGGTCATCCTACACCCATATACTTACTAGATTATAAGTATTTTGTTTTTAAACATAATATAATAAACAATTACATTAATTATATTAGAACGCGTGAGTTATTATTAAATAACTTCGAGAGTTATTAGTATGAATACAACTAGTACCGTCATTATGTAATGTAATAATAGAAATATTAATTATGCTTATTTATATATGCTATTTTACACGTGTATCATATAAATGTTAGATCTGCATTTATTATAAAAAAATATAGAAGCAAGCTCAAATTTAAAACTGATTATCGCTACCTTATTCTACTATCCTGGTTTAGCCATTCTAGTCGTTTATATACCACACTATACGGACGCACTACGCGACAACTTAGAGTTAAAGTGCGGAAAATTGAGTCCACCTTACATTTGTAACATTTTCTTTACCACACTATACGTAAGAAATAGCGTAACATACCTCGCATATAATGTATCATCAAGAAGTATCTCGCAGTAGTATCGTTTTTTAGGCGGGATGGCTTTAGCTTCTAATAACCACAATTTGACTGTCCTTTCACACCGCCGCGTCCGTATTTCATCTGGTCGCGCCGCTTGCCGTAAACTGTAAAAATAAAAAATATATTACTTTAATAATATTAACGAGAGTTTTCACTTAATTCACTTCCATTTTTTTCTTGTTACTTAATTTTATAGCTTAAGCTTCCAAAAATGTTTTAAAACTTTACTTGAGAAGATATTACATATATTTTTGTAGCTTTATCAATTAAAATCATATAGACGATACTTCTACATATATTTTTGACGTGAAACGTGTATAAAATCACACCGAAATATACGGGTACTTCAGAAAAGTGGACCGTAACGAAATAGGTTGCATTAGGTTGCCATAGTAACCACTGTTATTGTCTGAAAAATTATATATATTCTTTCTGTTGCTATCTTCAAAGAATACTATTTTTGTTTTCAAATATGTAAAATATTTATAACTAACAAAATCACCAAAAGCGATTCGCTGAAATAGACTATTCACGTTAAACCAACGGCAGTGTGCCCCGACACAGCCCGACCCGATTTATTCCCGATAAATATATTTTAGGTACATTCTAACCTGTATATCCAGCGATCTCGTTCTTTTCGTGAAGCACACGCAAAATACCGCGGCGCTCTGTTCTCCGCACTTAAAGCGAAACAATGTGGCCTGCCTAAAACAGACGAGTGTAGTGACCGTATTTCTACCTAGAAATTATAAAAAATAAAAATTAACACAGCTTAAATATTATTGAATTTTATAATAATAATTATCAATGAAATAATTAGTATTCAGAAAAAAATTATAATATGCACAATTCTTCTTGTTATACTTTTTTATCTGAAACGATTTCGCCTTTTTGGGACTGTTACTTACCGCATATCTAAAAAGCATGGACGAAGTGGTTAATTCTTTCATGTTAAATTTCTAAAAAATAAAAAACGCGGTCGTTGAGGGAATATACTAGCAGAACCCGCGGCTTCTAAACTACATAAAACTCTGAAAAGGTAGGTTTCATACAAACTTTCATCCCCTATTTTACCCCCTTATGGTATGAATTTCGAAAAATGCTAAAACACGTATTTCATTATATTGAAGAGCATTAATACTCGTACTAAGTTTCCAGTGATTCTGATCATAAATATTTTTTGGGTTGTATTATAACGTGTTTTCCCGTGGGAATAAGATAATCTCCCACGGTAAAAAGAAGCCTATATCACTCTCCAGCCCTCTGACTATCTGCACACAAAAAATAACGCCAATCCGTCACTCCTTTTCGACGTGAAAGAAGGACAGACAAACAAACAAACAAACAAACAAACAAACAAACACACTTCCACCTTTATAATATTAAGTATGGATGTTTCGAGTACAATGTATTATGTAGTTTTAAACTATTTATTTCATAGTAATTTCTACAAATTATTCAAAATAAAATTTTTTTATTAAGAAATATAAACAAAAGCGGTGTTTAAACTAATAAAGAAACAATTCCCATAAATGCAGACAAAGACAGGACAAAATGCTAACAAACAAATTTCATTCTGTAACTTAATATGCCAGCTTACTCACGACTTTTTTGATTAACATTTTGCGAAATGACTGTGCATCATATTGAGATTTAAAGATACCACTCAACAGCATTGCAATATAAACCTCTACGGTTTAATCGAGTATGATTCAGTTCGAAAGTAGTTGTATTAAATATCTAGCTTAATATTATTTGTTGAAGATTTCTTCATATTTTACATGTTCATACAAAAATGTGTAGGTGCTTAAATTAAAACTTCCAGAGTTAACTTCATTGTTTTATATTTTAAGTTCAATTATTAGATTCGTAGGTTCACTGTGTATTTTAGTACCTATATCTCCTAAACACAATTTGCACACTGCAACATACACTGATTCTTATAAACACGTTTCAAATAATTTCCTAGATTTTACCATTAGCATTCTATGAATTCTCAATACCTGATTGGGGGGCCCGAGATCCATCGTGGACACCGCCGGTGAATGTGCTGATAAAAGACTTTCATGAGATCTGGAATGAAAATATATATTTTTTATAATGTATCTATTATATATTTATATCTACACTAACATTATAAATGAGAAAGTTTGTGAGTATGGACGTTTGTTACTCTTTCACGCCAGAACAGCTGAACGGATCTGGATGAAATTTGACACAGAGATAGATTATAGTCTGGAATAACACATAGGCTACTTTTATCCCTGAAAAATGTACGGTTCCCGTGGGATAGGTTTGTTTTTGTTTTCCTAGAGGCAAACCCGAGCGAAGTGAGAGTGAGCCGCTGGTAATTTTAAAGATACATAAAATAAATAAAAAAATTCTTTCGTATTTTGTTTTATGCAAATAAAAAGACGTTTCATCTTACTCATTAGTTATTTATATACCTATTATTAAAACATGTAGTATATTATCCATAACAAAATACAAAGAGATTGCAATGTTGACAAGACACTATAATTTACATTACTATTTGTAATTGGACTTAAAAGCAAGTGAAACTACATAAACTTTAGTTTCCTTTTCCTAATTAATGTATTTGTACATCGAAGTAGTTTCATGTTTATTGTCTACGAAATAATTAGAGCTTGGTAAATACAGGGCGGGGCGACACTACTAGCGAAATAACATAATAAAACAGTGTATTGCCACGACAAACCATTCTCGCTATCATTACATTTTGTCCTTGTTTTCGGTCCCACCTTATTGTATTAACTGTCGTAGATAAATGCTACGATAAGAGATAAAGTACGCGAAAAACAAATGATCAACAACTTAATTTAGATAAAGCTCCTATCCATTTTAATGGTTCCATGCTAACATAACTAATTATCGTGAGAGGAAAACTACTAAGTTGAACAAAGTGTGTGAACTCTACATATATTACTATATATTTTAAAAATAATGAGCCCCTCACTGCACTCAGTTTGTGCTTAATCGGTTCAAGCTCACAATACACTGTACAGATTTTCAGATGGTCCTCCTCAATAGAAAGATGGATTATTTAAGAAGGCTATAATTTATGAAATTATAGCCGGAAAAAATCATCCATTTTGAGAACTTTCCTAATATTATAAATGCGAAGAGGACTTTCCCGAGCGAAGCAAGAGTGGGTCACTAATACTAAATATTTTAATCACCTAGACGTCCGTAATGCATGTGAAGCTGGGTGCGTTTGTACCGTCGCTAACGCCCGCTCTCTCTCCAACTTTGTATTGGATTTTGTCCGTTTGAGAGGGTTGCTTCTGAACGACCTCTTGGAGAAGAAAAAGGAAGCCAAGCGAGAGGGGCTGTGTTGCGCCTGAGCGCCGGGCACCGGCGTACTGGGCGCCGAACCACGCCGACATGCTTTTTCATAAGATGTATCTGCAAAATAAAAACAATAATTAATTTATTATATATTCGTAGAGAAATTTACTACAAAAAAATATGAAAAAATAAAAATAAAAAGCTAAAAAAATAGAGTTCAATATGAAGTAAATTATTTGCAACATAAATAAGTCTGTCTTTTGTTTACACTATGCATATCGTTTAACAAAACGAACGCATCAATCGAAGTAAACATAAATATATCAATCACTTAGTAGAGGATATTCAATATGTCGTAAATTGCTGTAAATCAAAGCACTTTAGTTGCGGTAGATCTAATCTTACCCGTATAAGTCACAGTGATTTATTGTTAATATAACAAAAGTTTGAAAATTTAACCATGCTAATACATATAATTGTATATTACTTAAACATTATACATACATAGGTATTTTATTTCATAGCTATATAAAATTTTATTTACATACAAATATAAAGTATTATTTAAAATTTTCCGTGAAGTTAAAGTACACACTATACATAATATATAATATGTATAATATAACCAAATGTACTTTGTATCACTAGTACCGCGATACGTCGTGGCTTCCGGCGGACGTTGCGCTCACGCCGCCCATGACCGTTACGATTGCACCGTTGTAATTAAATATAATATGTCAAAAAGTTTATGATTTAAACTCTTAATGAGTTGATATACTTAATGAAATAAAAATTAAACAAAAAATAACCCGCTAAAACTAAACGACTTAATAAATAATAGACCTAAAAAGATATTTCCAATTAATGTTGCTTTCCAAAAAAATAACTACTATACTTCAAGAATTTACTATGTAGATATTGCATACATTTAAATTTTAAACAGTAGATTAAAGATTCAGATAAAATTATATATGCAATAACATGACATAATTATGTGAGAACTAAACAGATGTTCTATTATGTTTCCAACGTACTACTGTTATTGCTTCAATTGCTCAGTGTGTTGTCAGTGCGAGTTATGGTCGTACTTAAATTATATTTATGTGGATGAATATATATATATATATATATATATATATATATATATATAAATATATGCATTCTCACTTTTAATAAACTTTTAGAATTCCGTTTACATATTGTATTGTTTTTTTTTCAATTATAATTAGGATTTGCTTTAAAGTAATTAAACTACTTTCATTAAATATTATCATAATTAGGGTACGTACTACTCGTAGTAGTTCAAAAATAAAAAATTAATTTCGCAAAAATTGGGTAAAACAGAATTTTGGTAACTAAAAAGATAAATCTCAAGACAGCGAGCCATGCTTACCTTTTATTTTCATAATACGGATATCTATTATATATTCCCATATATAAAACAAAGTCAGGTTTGTTACAACACTTATAACTTGAGAACTGCTAGACCGATTTTTATGATCTTTGTTTTGTTGGATATATCTTCACCCCAAATAACTATTAAAACACCGGAAAAATCACGAAAATTTTTTTTAACAAAAAATCTATTCCATACTAAGCGTCCAAACGTACCTAGGGACGAACCTGAGCGAAGCGAGGGTGACTCGCTAGTGGACTATAAAATAAGAACACTTCCGTCTCTACATACGTATATTACCATTCTTTATAATGTTGTCAAAGCTTGAAGCACAAATACTACTTACATAAACTGACACAACGGAACTCTAACCCGTTTTAATCCATAAATCGTGCTACAGGCTATAAGTTTTTGCTCAAGTGAAGGTAGAGGCTCGAATGCTTTTAATGAGTAAGCAAAAGCTATAGGCGTACCAATATAATTATTAAGTTTGTATCGTGTATAATATAACGTAACATATTTCATGTAGTTTTAATGTATTATTTCACCCTTAAAGGTGAATGACCTAAAACCATTAAACATCTATATCGCTAGACAGTAGTGAGTCACTGCAGCGTAAATTATAGCAGTTGGCTTCGTTACAAAGTGTATGAGGTAGTTCTCAACGAGTTTAGGGAAAAGTCTTTGAAATTGAATTCTGTTTATGACTTAAGAACCTATTTTTGAAAAATTCCTTGAAATATTTTTTTACGCATAACAATAGGTTAAAGCTTCGATCCAAACTTCACGAATAAAATATGTGTGTCATTTAAATAGTCTACAAACTATGTCTATTTTTTACAATATCTTACATATCGTTTGATAAATATGTCATGTTTTGTGTTAGATTTTCGACATCATTATTGAAAACAAGCGTGTCTTTACTATAATAACTGATAAGCCGTCACAAGGAAGTACCACGGTGATAACATTTTTATTAGTTTGATTTACATATTTTTATTATTTCAATTTAATAAATATTTACATTATGCATATTATGACACTTTTTAAAGAACTTATGTTTTCTACAAATATTAATTTATAATATATTCTAGTAACTATATGCTGTGTACAGTATTAGTATCGTATATATAGTAGTTCTACGAGGAAGTATATTGTGTAGCACTCGTACTTTAGACTACATAAATATTGAAATAACCTCTAGCATTTTTTATTATAATTCTTTAATTATAATATAACCTTGCAAAATATGCTAAATGCGTATAGTTTATTAAAATATTATAATTATTATCTGTCCATCTTTACGCTGGGCCTGTGCTGTGTGTACAGATAATGGACCCTTAACTTATTAAAATAAACTTGAAACTAGCATCTTCGGATGTGTTGACTTCCAGCAGTCTTCGATGTTTGTGCATTAAAGCTGCATAATGTTTTTTTTACTACAGAGCTTGCAAATGCAAAGCTCAATTTTCAAACAGAACGAAATATAAAGCAGGAACAAGTTATGGACTTTGAAAGTCAAGTATTGGACCGTTGTAAGACTCCACGCAACACGAATTATAAAATCGTAACGGAGAAAGTTTGCATTTGGAAATTCTAAATATCGTCTTTCCTTTTCTTTCAATTGCTTAAGCAATAATAATCCATACTTAATATTATAAATGTAAAAGTGTGTTTGTTTGTTTGTCCTTCTTTCACGTCGAGACGGAGCAACGGATTGGCGTGTTTTTTTTGTGTGGAGATAGTTGGAGAGTGACATACGCTACTTTTTACCGCGGGAGAATATTTCATTCCAACGGGAAAATACGTTATAATACAATAAAAAAAACATGATCAGAATTACTTGAAAGTTGGTATTAATGCTCTTTAATAAAATTAAATATGTGTTTTAGCATTTTTCGAAATTCATCGTATAAGTGGGTAAAATTGGGGATGAAAGTTTGTATGAAACTGCCTTTTTAGAGATTTTTTTGTATGAAGTTGCGGGTTCTGCTAGTAATCAATAATAAGGTAAAGTACCACTAATTCCTATGTATTTTACGTGTTTTAATAACGATCTACATAGTATTTTACTATATCGTGTACTTTTTATGTAATTATAAGCAATTGTAATTGTAAGTAGAACTGCCTCGGTGGTATAGTGGCTAGCATGTACGGCTGCACACCCGGAGGTCCTGGGTTCGAGTCCCGGGTCGGGCCAAGTTTAGTTATTGAGTCTTCCTGTATAGTAAGTCTCAGTAACAGCCCGGAGTTGGGAAGTTGGCGGTGTTTCACCCCCGTGCCTCGGAGAGCACGTAAAGCCGTCGGTCCTGCGCCTTAACTCTCACCGGTCGTGTCGAGTGGTCGTCCCACCGGAGTATGAGAGTGATAGGAATAGAGAGTGCACTTGTGTCTGCGCGTACACTTGAGCACTATAATATCTCCTGCGCAGTTGGCTAATCTCATTGAGATTGGCCGCCGTGGCCGGAATCGGCTAGGAGAACATTATTATTATTATTATTATTATGTAATTATCAATAGGTACTTTTATTTATATTTTTGTGCTTAGTACAGAGACTGATATAGCTTGTCACATAGATACTTATTGCATGAGGTATTACATTATGTATATTATTTACTCTGTACATGATAATAAACGATGTGGATAAAGTGGTAAAGTGGCAAGTCATTCGTTGGATAATAACATCGGAAGAGCCCAACAGTTATTCAAAGTCTTAAACAATGCTGCACTTGATATGAAATCCACTACCTTAAGGTTGAATGTTCATTAAACGTTAAGTTAGCACGTAATACTTCATAATGTAATAATATGAGTACAAAAATAAAAAGCTTAAGTTAGTGTTAGTAGATAAATAAATTAACAAATATTATTAACAACTCTCGACTTGTGTATTTTATATCCGAACATTTCACCAATATATGTAGTTGGCTCATTGCATTAATATAATTTAAATATGTCGAGTTATATAACATATATTATTGTTTACTCAATAAATTTCGGAAATTACAGGTTTTTTTTTATTTCTTAGCAGTACTTTGGCATTTTTTCACTTAATTTCTTTGCACAATTTAAAAAACTATGACAATATTCCATAATTTTCTTACCAGAGTGGACAGCAACGTCGTCTTCTACATCTAAATAAGCTCGACGTAAACTAAGAGGACTATTCGCAACTTGTTCTTCATTCTTCTTTATAAGAGCACAAATCACTTCTTTTTCGCCACCATTATTATCGATGAACTTATCATAATTGTCGAACAAGTCAGTCACTATAGTCGCACTATCATCGAGACCTTCTTCTATATGCCTCGCAGTTATACTTCGAAGCAATGAATTACTTCTTGATAATTTTGTACTTCGGGATCGCCTAATAAAATTTAAGCCTGATATTTTCCCTGGACTCTTGTTTGGACTTTCTGGAGTAACCGTTATTTTAGGTGTTCTAAAAATAGAAGTAGAACTTGAACTCCCTCGTATCGGTGATGGAGCATTTAGGTTTTGTGGCAATGTTTTTGATTTTTCTTTGTTTGGTGAGAGAAGCTTAGGAGAATCGGGAATTAACGATAAATTGGAATTACGTATAGGATGTTTTGAAGGTAATCTGGCGCTGATACTTGAAGTTGACGTATTCAATTTATTAGATGACACTGAAGTTCCTAAAGGTGAATATATTCTATCGTAGCGAGGCTCACATGATGTTGTACTTCGTAGCCTTGGCTTCGAATGCCTTATGATATTGCTTTCAGCGACAAGTTTCGGACTCGTGAGATCACGCTGGCATTCTCTCGGTAGGGTTTCGTTTGAACTTACTCTTGATGACAAAGGTCGCCCATATCGCCTTCCAGGGCTTAAAATGCTCACGTGATTTTCACTCTCTACGAATGTCCCATCTCCATGTATTTGTAATCCACCAGATTCAGATGCATTCTTTCTTTTCGGTTTCGTAGGAATTTCGTCGATATTTAATCCACATATTATAGCATCTTTTTCCTCCGGCGTCAACGGTAAATAATTATCGAAGCTTTCGAACAGTGGTATATAAAACACAGAACGACGCCTGATCTGGTCGTCGCCTGTGATTGATGAATTCGGTGATAGGGCTCTAGACATGATTGACAAAAAATAATGGCGGAAGCACGCCAAATTATGCCTTTAGCCCTTCTTACGACTCTCTCGCCGCATCGCTGGCGCCATTCGTCTCACTTAAGAATTTTTCTTAATGAATTGTCCTTTTTATATTTCATTTCATGTTCACTGACTAATTAAAGTACATTTATAATAACATTGACACTTTTTACATTATAACATCTCAATACTATAAAAATGGATTATAAATTATACATTATTGAATGTTGGAATATTTATAAATTATGAATAAAAACTGCTTTAATAAAAAATATTCTTTTACAATCTCTCTGATTAATCACTGTTAAGTCATAAAATTGTTTTAAGCGAGAATTGCGCATTGATCGATTTAACAAGTACCTACCGCGAACAGTTTCACTTTATCGCAAGTTGATAAGATTATGCAGTATTGCCAACCAAGAATCGGTTTCAACTGAGCAAATATTATAAAAATATTTAAAGTAAATAATTTGCATATATTATTTCGTAATATATTAATTAAATGAGTACATAAAGTTAAAAATCTATTTAAGCGTCACACGTGATATGATTCACGTGTGAATTAAGTTAAGGATACTTTAGTTTATACTCGTAGATGTAAATGCAGATACAAATGGAAAGTTATAATAGTGAGCACCATATGTGCTTGTTTGAAATGGGGAGTGGCTTTCGTGCAAAATGCGAATTATATGTATAATAAGTTTTACACACGTTGGTCCCTAGCATTATACATCACACAATTATATTATCAGGGCGTAGTTAAGTAATTGATGTTCTTGCTCGTCATATAAATGGAATAGTTCATATATTTTATTTTAAAACATAATAGAAGTTTTTGCGATAAACTTATATCCTTTGATCCAGTAGGCAAGTCTGAATTTGATGCTCGAGTTTTGAGAACACAAAGCAAAAAGTGTAAAACACGATAATTTCGCGTAGATTAAAAACGTCTTTGTAGTGTATTCAGAGAACGAAATAAAGCACCGGATGTCGTGATACAGAGGAATGAGGTTGTTGTTATGGAGTGCAAGACGAAACAGGGCAAATAAAGCTTGCAGAACGAATGTTATTAACCCGCCACTGCTGAGAGCAATATTTATAAAACACGTTCTCGCGCATTAGACAAATATTCATTTTTTTCTCACTCACAATGCTGTATATACACTACTATTACAACTTATTACTTGATGTGTTAGAATTATTATAGGATTTTAAATTGATAAACAGATCATCGTTTCAGAATTGCAATATATTTCCGACTTCCAAAATGGAGGAGGTTCTATGTTTGTGTGTGTTTTTACGCATCTAGTATAACTACTCGATAGTATACGTTTACGCAAATTACATTTGGGTTACAAAGTTTTTACTGAACGTAATATTATCAAGGAATAATAATTATATTAAAATGTAAGTAATGAAGTGTAATTAAAAAAAATGGAAGTAGAAACTTGATCCTCCAAGGGTCTCAGTCGGCGGCGTGACTAACGCGCGCAATCACGTTTCAAGGCAGCACGAGTGATCGACAGCGCAACTGTGCTCGGTCTATAGCCTAGGTTTTTCAACTTGACTTACTCTCTTTTAAGTTAAAATAAGGACTTATAAATTATTAAAATTATTATAATAAGTTAACAATACTTTTTCATGTTTAAAGTTTTTAACAAATTGTAGAAAAAAAAACGAAAGAAAATTACAAATTAAAGTAGAAATAGAGATCTACTTTATGAGGCATAAGTCCTTAAATAACTTTTGTAATACCAACAGCAGCATTTTTTTAATAAATTCTCAATTGACATTATGAACTAATATCTCATACTCATATCCCTTAGAGGGCGGGAAGTGTGCGGCATGGCAACAAAAATAAACAACATATTGTGGCGAGGGAGATACTTTTCATACGCAATTCTCTCAAATTATTTAGTCTAACTTGCTCGTAGAATAGGATGAAAAACCTAACGCCCTATAAAATTTTATGAAGCTTCATACAACTTTTATTTTATCATATGAACTTTTTATTATTGTTATTGTATTCCGCACAATTTGCACTGAAACAATATACCTACATAATACATACACTAATAAAACAGATACTATCGATACATATATTATTAATGATAAATATTGGACTGTCTTTTGTATGATACTACAAGATCGTTGAGTTTAAGTTAAACGAAAACGGATATTTTTAAAATAAAAATTATTTTTAACTATGACAAGAGTAATTTACCCTAAACTAAGCAAGCCGAACAAAAATATCAAGTCAAAGTACCTTCCCGTGGTACACCGAAGTTATCGCAATCCGTCGAATGGTTTAAAAATGCTTTATCTAATTAGGCTTTTAAATTAATTGTATTTTTACGTTTAAATAAGAATCTAACAAAAATTATTGAAATTTGAATACGTTTTTACTAAAGATTAAAATAAAAACATTGAGAAACAAAGCTATTCGTTAAGTATAGTGGGTTAATATTTTTATTTAATTTCACACGACAATATAGTACATATGGTAAGCACGACATGTTGCCAACGAAGTATACCAGTTATTACTAAAATGAAAGAGAAATGACATGTACCTACTCTCAGTAAATAGAACGAGTTTGCTTTGTCGTATTCGAAGCATTTGTTTGCGGTTAGGTTTGTTGCTGTTATTGTAGCAAACTTGCACTTCTTCTTTACATAGTGAAAAGTAATAATTGTTTTTGTTTGTAAAATAATTAGTTCTAGTAAATGTATATATATCATGAAATATCGTACAAATCCTATTCTCTATACATTTTTCTTTTTTTTCGTGTCGTAACAAACACACTTATCACTTCTGTATAAATAAATATGAACAAAATCGTATCAGCAGCTCTACGGATTACCTTCTAAGATCAAATATACTTTCTTATAAACTGCTCTATCTCTCTATGTTTTTTGATTTAAACATATTATTAAAAACATGCCATTCGTATGGTACTCGCACTCTGTAAATTGATTACGAGGCATAAATCAGTCCTTATTTGAATTATTGATTTATTGTAATTAGATAAATTTCTGTAATAAAATTATTTCAGCATGAACAATTGATATAATATAACAGCAGATTAAGAAGTACTTTTAATAGTGTATTTGTACACGGGCATACCTACAATCTCGTCTCAAAAGAATAACAAATGACCGACAAGTTTCCTAGCTAGACAGGTTCTACTACACCCGCATGTTGTATGAGTTTCTTTACACAAGATCAAAAAAATATATTCTGTTTAAGGTACAACAAACGCACGCTACGTAAAAAGACAACGAAGACAAAAATATATTTGCTCGTATTTATTATGATAAGAAAAACAAATTTAGTATAAAAATTTATATGAAGCATTTATCACATGTAGACAAATAGTCTAATTCTAAAAAAAGTACTTGTGTCAATTTTCGTGGTCATAGACTTTACATAGAGACCTATGCAAAATTCGTATATCAACATTACTTATCCATATTATTAGGCAACGGTTACCCTTTTTTATGGCACAATATTAATTGTAACAATGAAATATTTAGTTAATAAATTCATATAATATATGCATTTCCGGTAAAAAACATATGTATTTATTTATAAGGAAACACATTAATCAAGTGACAGTACAGAGGGATCTACTACTCAATGTGTCAGAATGGGTTCACGCGAATGAAGGCAATCAGTTAACTAAAGCCCCGGATTGTCTATTAAGTGAATCTTCTCACTAAGACTAATCTAATCTTAGCAAGATAATTAATTACAGTGGAATCTATCGTATGTCAGAGGGGTTTTCTCTTAACACTTTTTTGACATTTGTCATTTACTGTCAAATTATAGAATACTTATGTATAATTTACTAGCGACCCACCCTCGCTTCGCTCGGGTTCGTCCCAAAGTACGCGAAATTATCATCATTTAACCGTTAGTGATACTCATACAAACAGTTCTGAATTTACGATTTTCCAGTTGTTTTTTTTGGGTTTTCCCAAGAAAAATTTATACTTCAACCACCCCTGACATACTCCCAAACAAAACAAAAAAAAGAATTACTCAAATTAGTACGTTTTTGGTACTAAAGATACAATAAATGGTTTTATAGAAGATGGCACACCTTAGGAATGAAATGATCGCATACAGGCAACTTCAACTTGATAGAAATATTGCAAATTATAATTTTACTTTAAAAAAAGATTATACTTTAAGAAAAGATATTGGTCCCGCTGAGTTTCTTTCGCCAGTTCTTCTCAGATCTGAGGCTTCTTCTTTCCGAACTGGTAGTAGACTCATGACGTTCAGTAAAAAATTGTAATAATTTAATGCTGAATAAAATATTTTGATTTGATTTGTTTGAGTTTTAGCGAGACTAACGAAAAGCAATTGATTTTTATATATATAGAAGAAGTTGATAATCATCGACACGGAGGTCGTGTCACTGCATAAAATGAACAAGTGTAGTTAAAATATAATCTATTGCAACATTAATTTAAAAAAAACTGTAACACAAAATTGCAGATTACTATAATGTAGAAACTAATCAGGTACCGTTGAGTAAAATACTGTTCTACGAATGACCCGTATAACGTAGTCACTTATCGAGTCATGTTTAATATTTTGAGATTATAATTTAAAGACTTCTGTACTTATTACATATTTATTTCAGCAAATTTCACTATTGTTATTTAAGCAAAATCTCTAAGCTAAAGTGTTTGTTTTTAATTGTTTCTAATCTATGAAATTATCTTTAGAACAAGTCTCATTTCATATATTTTTTTGCGTTTAATAGTCTACTAATTGGGAAAGGTGATACGGTATCTGATACCACGCTATGAACATTAGGAGCGGCTCAATTAGTTATACATAAATAAACCATGCGAGGTCTATATTAGTCTAAAAATATCATTTTCGCAAAATGGATACATAAAATTTAAAAAAGATTGTGGAGATAATGGCGATGGGTATTTTCAGCATGAATTATTATTAGTCCTTTATGGGC